ACTTGTAAGGCGCTAAAATCGTATACAGAGCGCCAAACTCCGCTTTAGTCTTCATTTGTTCTACTGACAGCGCGATACTGCGATGACATTACAATTTAAATTTCGAATAGGTTGACTTGGGACATTTTTTTCGTGGTTTTTGTATTAGACCCGTCGTCCATTTATTTGTAAGTCAATGCACTACATGATAAGTTTATATCGAAAGTCATTATTATTACCCATTATTGACGACCCAGTGGTGGCCCAATAGTTTGCATTGTGGGCGCTGAATAAGCAGACCCCGGTTTCGAATCCCGTTAAACGAACTTTTCTAAATTGTTCCAGTGTGGGTGTTCTAGGTAGTGCCCCGGGATAAATTCCGTGGCTGTGGTACCCAAAGTACAGTGAATTCGATTGTTTGACACAACACACTTAAACAATACTAACATGAAGCTTAATTGGCTTAGATATATGAGAAAAAATATATCGGTAATTCTCTGATAAGCGTTCACGACATAATTACATTGGCATTTTTTATTATTTAAGTATTCCATTTTATCGTGCAATATTATTTAATATTCGAGTATAATTTATCGTGAATATTAATTTAATAATTACACGATAATATACTTAAATATTTAAATAATAAAAATTGCCGCGGAAATTATAGTGAACGCTAGTCCGAGAATGACCGAAATAAACACATTTTGTAACCAAATACGAATAGGTAAATCTTAGATGCTTAAATAAGTCTGTAAAGTAAAGAAAAAAAAAATATTATTTAAATTTTATAAAAAAAAATTAAGTTTTTTTATATCAAGTGACAGGACAAACAAGTGCACCGGGCGGTAAAGCCTACTCATAACAGTTGTAGTGCCATTCAGAGCAAAATCGCAAAGATCTGGAGTCACTTCCACTGCGTACGTCCCATGTCCCATCCCATTAGATAAACCTTCTCAACCTTTTTCTTAAAAAACAAAGCAATCCGTTCCAAAATTGAACTTGATATATGGACAACACCAAAACCGAAAAAAGTTCGTTGCTCCTCCCATTATTGTTTAATATCAGCAATTAAGTCTATATAATGGGCTTGTGCAATACAATAACGGTTTTATTGGTGCAATTGAAATTCTTCCTTGGTTAATCGAAGCTGCCAGCTGTTAATAGGAAAATTAGAAGTTTAACAACCTTTGTTGGCTGGTAGAAAATACCGCCATTGTATAGTCGGCGTGGAAATAAACTGTGTGTGTTTGCAATCAATTTATATTAAAAAAACCAAACTTTAGTCAATGAATGTACATAATTTTATTGAAATAAAACCAACCTCATAAGATGCAAACAAGCATCTTATTGATAATCTTTAAGATCGAGGCTCCATAATGCTGCATAATTGCAGTGGGTACATACATTCTATTATAATACATAATAATAGTTAGCCTATATAGTTCAACTGCTGAGCACAGGCCTACTCCCCCAATGAGAGCGCTTAGGCTATAGTTCCCTAGCGGGCCCGATGCGGATTGAGAACTTCACACACATAGATGTTACATTACATACATTTTCTGTTATTTTTGTAAACAGCCATATTTATTTACTAAAATTACGTTCTTCGAATTTTATGAAAAAAAAAAATAACGAAACGAAAAACAGAACAGGTCCAAAATAATAGTTGCCGTAGTGTTTATTGGTGGTATCAAATTGTGTGCAGGAGTGACGATGTTTTTCTTTACGGAAAAGCTCATGGAAAATTCCGAAAAAACCCAAGACGCGGCTTGTGAGGCGGTATGTCAAACTGTTAGTTTTTTTTAAGTATTAAGTGACGGGACGAAGGATGTATATTACATATGTTTAAGTTAGATTTCGTAATCGAAAGTGAGGAAGTTAATTTACTTAAGGTTCGAACGTTTTATTAGTATGGATATTTATTATTACGTCATTCATCCGTATAAAATTTTTTTTATTTTTACTGTTTATTTTCTAAACATTCCGAAATATAGGTTGTCTCATGTTTATTTGTTAAATGGCTAAAGTAACGGCTGTATAAATATGTATAACTACAATATGATTTTTAGAGACGAGAATTTGTTACGAATACTTGTAATAATAATTTATGGTCCATGTACTTCAATTTTAATCAATTATACGCATATTCTGATAAAATCAATTCCGAGAAATCCCGGGTTTTGTAGAAGGGAATATCCAAGTTATTCTTTGGTTTAGCTAAATTAACTCCCTCTATTCAGGTCACTGCTTATATAAAATTTTGTTATTGTTTTTTCTCTTTGGCCAAATTGTTAACTTATAGAAAATAACCTTATAGCATTAGGTCTACCTTTTCTACTACGTCGTATTGTGTAATAAAAGTGCGCCTTAAATTAATTCCGTTTACGAGAATGTCTGCCAATTATTGAATATTGAAAAAACAATTTTAACGCTGGCTTTACTAAAACTAAAAACAAAAGACAGAATAATATTTTTAAAGATGAAACCAAAGAGTTAATGTTCTTTTTTGAAATCGAGATTTCTTTTTAGCGCCGCTATTAACGTTTTACGTACCTACAAACTGAATTTTTTATGCATTTGAATCCAGTTTTATTACCTACTACTAGTGTACATTTTGCGATAAAACACAGCTGTGTTGCTGTATCCTTGTTTTTGTAGCGTGTGTCAAAGAAACTTTTGCACCACCACAGAAAACCCAGGAGCTCCTCGTCTAGCGGCCACAGTGCAAACAGCCACTGAAGCCGTCAAGTTTTGACGCTATTCTTTTTTTAAGTCGTGCTGACGGTAAGCGACACTATAGTAGTTGCAGTGCTACAAAGACTTAAAATTTATGTATATTATATTATGTGGTGAGAGCTAAATCTCTACGTAAATATCAAAAGTAGGTCAATATAAAAAAAAATCAAATTGGGCATGTCCTTAAAAAGGCCAGGTTAAAAGGGCACGCATGAAAAGACTGATAACGTAGGGAACGAAGGTTCATAGCCTCTACCTACCTACCTACTCCAGTGAGTATCGAATACAATTCTGCTAGCCAACGATACGCCTGCTGATAACAGTTGCAATGCCATTCAGAGCTTTAAAGCGCGAACACTTCAAAGACAGCGCCCGTTACCCTTATACATAAAATTGACAAGTCCCACGCGCTTATAATTTAACCAGCTCCCTTACTCTTCAAAACCAAAACGCAGTAATGCTCACATTACTGCTTGGCGGCAGAAATAAGTAAGTTGGCAGCACTTCCTTGGACGACCTCTTTCACCAGGAGCTCTAACTGTTACTAAAACTTCATTTTCACTAAATGTTAATTTCTGCATCCAGCGCCCACAATATAAACCGTTAGGCCACCGAGGTCGTCACATATTGTTTATAGACACATTATATGGTTTATAGACATTGGAACATCTTAAATGCACTCAGAATACGCCAATTACAAGACTCGATTAGCTAAGTACAATGTGTCCAATAACCCGTCAAAGTTATGTGCTTTCGAACAATTTAAAGGGTTTCTAATAGGCGTTTCTCGCTGTTCCGTGGAAATGGACACCGGTCAGGACAAGTGTACATTTTACGCAGCTATTAACCACAACTTGATCACATGCTACGAAAACAACCTGGCTGCTTTCCTTTCTTGAGGTAACTAGAGGACACTTAGTACTTAGGACCCGTATTAATAAATAAATAAAAAAACGAATAAGTAATATTAAGTTTATTACATTCACGATGTTTTACTCCACTAGTTTGTTATAATTGTTAATACAAAGATCGAACACAAAGAAAGAATTTAATATTACAATTATTAATGCGACATCTCTATTCTGCCGCCGGTAGTTAGGTAAAGGTGTGTGAAGAAAAAGTTTTATAAATTTCTCACAGTTGGCGCTACGGTAAACTATCGTTGTAAAACCACATACAAAGATACAACGCAAGCACATAGAAAAATTCGTGAGGTCCGCTGGTTCGTTACGTGGCTTAGTTGGTATAGCGTCTGGCACGGTATGCTAGAAGACGTCGGGTCGAATCCAGCCGGATTGAAGGACTTTTTCTGAGTGTTCGACCTTTGTATTCATAATTATAACAACCTAGTGGAGTAATTTCACTTAAAAATAATTGAATATCGATTCAATAAAAATTTAAATACAGTGAATAACGACATCATAACGGGGCTGGCAGCTGTAAAGGTATCTATCTAACTGGGTGACGAAATATTGATGATTTAATTGTTGTTAATATTTTTTAATTGACGTGATAATTGATTCAATTAGACTCAAAGTCAACAAATTAAAAAAAAATGGTAAGGTCCTCCGTAACCTAATTCCAAATTTCAAATTTGATTTTGAAACTGTTGTTTGTTTTTGTGACTAAAGCGAACTTCAAAATCTCGGCAAAACTGGAGACTTGCCGAACACGAGGGTGTAGAAAATGCATTCGTTGATTTTCGTGTTGTCTCGGGTATATTCGCATTTTCTCCATTTCTTGTCGGGAAATCTAAAAATATCAAAGATTTCTGGGGTAGTACAACTGTCCCAATCGAGAATGTAGAGTCTCGGTTTCCTCCCGCCTTCTCGCAACATCTCACCGACAATGTGGAAACTTTTCTCTAATTTTGTAAATTATAAGAGCATAAAAAGTGCAAAGTGAAAAGTTTGCTTCTGGGTGTCTTTTATTTGCAGAATAAGCGGAATCTACATAATGACGTCAATACTGCGGAATGTAAATGATATATACCCGAGTCCTCCCGAGATGAAGGCTCTCTAACGTACTAAGTCTTTTCAAGTAAACTTTGAATACAATTTTTTTTTCATTTGTTTTAAATTCACAATGAAATTTATTACAAACACAAACAAAGCAGTTACAAGACAGCTGCGTAGGGAGATCCTGCTACCTATCTTGCGCATTTATCTCCTAATCGTTTTTCACGTCCACTATGAAACATGTGATTTGTTACTAGGACTCTCTTCAAATAGAATTTAAGAAACTTCCAACAAAAATAACAGAAATCTCTCTTTTGTTCGCAGGGCCGACATAAGCGCAATGCGACCTTTCCTGGAGGCCAGACAGGGAGTTTGCTGCAATCTTCGACGACAAGAAGTAAGCTTTACACTCGGTTTACAAGACTATTGCATATATACAAAATTATGGATGTAAAATCAAACACTTGACATCTAAAAAGTGTTGTATCTATCTATCTATCCGACTAGTCATGGCGACCACTTCGACTCCTAGTTGGGTTGGCGCTGGTAACCCCGAAAGTAACATAGCCAATCTTCATGGCGAACCGTAGTGTACATTGAGGGCACATGGGTACACCTCCAACGTAATTAATTTCAGAGGTTCAACGGCCCTTTATCTCATCACTTTTAGCATCGAGTGCAGTTTTACGCTACTCTTCTTCCCATTGCGACGGATCAATTTTGCATCTATATTGTACCAATCAAAAGGCAGAATCCTTCAGAATCCTGTCCACATAGAAGGCGTATATCTTCCAGAATATTCCGCCGATGCATCTACTCTGCGCGATGTAGCCGACGGTTGCAGCCCTAGCCGACCCCGCTTCTGTCCTGGTGGTACCACCACGTGGCCTGGTCCTCGTGTGCAGCCACCACAGCCTGAAATCCCTAGCCTGGCTGCTCCGACGCCTATTGACACCAAAGGTAAGATGAGAGATAGAACAAGTACCACCGCTCCTAATCCTACGCCAACCACAAGGCTGGCAGGTATTTCACCAAAGAATAAGTTTAGCTAGTCAAAAGCAACGTTACCAGCCTTCAGGGTGATGCCCCAAAAGTGGTAAAGGTAGAAAATGTCTTCTTTTCACTTATATGTTAAGTATATGTGATATTTAATATCATATAAATATTCCAATTCATTCGTGACATTAACTATACTTGATAAACGTTTTTCATCAATAACAAAGTTAGTTTGAGATTGGGAAATTTCCCTCTCACGAGATCATAGCAATAATCATAAACTTGAATGCGAAAAGCATAACGCTACTACGAGGCACGGAGCTGTTACCGCAAGATAATGTGAACAACATAGTTTTTTTATCCTCTACATCGGTGCCAGCTATTCTGTAGTATTTTTCTCTGTAGCGTGACATCACTCATTCTCACTTTCGTCACGTCCCATTGGATGATCGTCATATGTTTTTTAATGAAAAGCAATAAAACAATTATCATAATCTATTCAGCGAACGTTACCAAACAAATAACATGGCGCCGGCCGTCCGCCCACTTAAAACTATGACAAAACCAAAATTATAGTTAACAAACGATTACGAAACCCCATTATGTCAAGAGTCACACCCCTCACGAAACTGAATATATCACAAATTATAGATCGCCGACCAACGCCAACGTTGCGCGCGCGCACGTAATGACTGACTTCTCGGTAGACGTAACATGGCAGTAAGTCAACTTTCTGAAATTTGGTTTTTCCATGTCATATCTTCTTGTGGTCATAAGATCTGTCCAAATATTATTTTCGTGATCAGTTATAGTTAATATTCGGAGTTAAGACCACATTTTGTGTCGGTTCAAATAATGTATAAAACTTCATTAACATACTGACTTTATTATTGTTTGGGGCCTAAGGGCTAGACGACACTTGTCAGCATCTTTTAGCACGTAAACGTGCTGATATTGTCTCTTACAACACTAATAGACGTAGCGTAAAATGTGGACGAAAAGTTAATTACACACGACATATAGAACATGCAGTTCTGTATCCAATTGTGTATAGTATTCCATCAAAATTGTAAAGTACAAGAGAAGATATTATGAGATACTAGTCATATATATAGGTGTTCGATCTTTGTATTAATAATTATAACAAACTATTGGAGTAATTTCACATAAAATAATTGAATATCAATTCAATAAAATACAGTCATATATTTCTACAGCTCATCAGTGTCGGGGTATTTTATTTTGTTATGTATAACCCGGTAAATTAGTGCTTTTTATTATTGTTTATATTTGTTATTAGAAAATTATTTCATTAGTATGGATACAGTGCTGAAGCGTGGGTCCTAACCTTAAGTCTCGTTTAAGGAATACTTACAAAGTGGTAAACTGCACTTACTAGAACTAAATACATGTCTGTGAAAAACATTTGCGCAGGGACGAAAGATTTATACGCCATTTTGCATAACCCAATCATATCCAATATTTCGATATAATTCCGAGATATACCTTAAATCGAAAACATGTTTCTCGTTTCACAAAATCGATATTATTATCCGAATTACGAGTGATTCGGGGAATTGTTAACTCTGGATGTTATAAAGTTGATTTTGCGGTCTTTTTGGCGAATTTGGTAAATCAGCGCAGCCAGTTACAGCTAAAAATGTAGTTGAAAACTGCATTTCGTTAGTTATTTCTTGTTTCACTCGTTGGATGTAAGTTTTTTTTTAATTTTTGGTCAGACAAAACTATTTTTGTTTTTAATTATCGATATTTTATTCGATATAAATACGTATACACAAGGTACCTCATTGTTAAGCATTATTTGGATAAGTTAAAAAAATAGTTATAGTCTTTTGAAAACTTTCGCTCGTGACAAATCTGGAACCACACAGTGCTTTTTCAATTTGTTTTACCCGATTGTAGCAAAAGGTTCTACGTGATTTAATTTACATTCAACCTTTCACTATTCATTTTTTTATTAGATCTGTCAATTTCTTAAGGAGTTGCAACTGAAAATTTCAAATGAATTTGAGCAAGTGTTTCTTTTTAGCAGAAATTGAATACAATTTTTTGCTGATAGTTTTTATTTTTATACTTTTACAACTTCTTGTTTGTCTTTGTTTCTTATTGTTACCGTAAAACGTACTAGACAATTTTGGCCTCAGCATATCAGCGTCTTCAATCATTATTTTGTATTCTTGTAATATGTTAACTATACTAAATTACTAGTGTAATAGAGTCCATTGTAGCTTATTTTCGACATAAATTTTTCGATTACATACATCATATTTCAAACAAACTCCTTCATAATTGCACACGTTTTTCACCAACAAATCATTTAAAATATTAGACATTTCACATTTAGCTTTCAACTTGAAGATCCACACAGACCTTCATCAATACTAAATTTATTGGCTCCCCAATCACGTCTGGAGTCACGTCTTCAAACATTATTTCAATTCTCAGCGAATAAGCCGCTCCCAGTTTCGGCCGCCGTATTTCACCGGTGCATGCATCAGATACGGGGTTTTGCAATAGACGTGCTTTAGCCATCAATTTCGTAGTAACGCATTTGACTGCAGTACTGTTCGAGACGTCTGTAGGTTTGGAATCTTAGCGAGCATTATTGTGTGCATTGCTAGTCGTATTGTATAATCCTTCTTAAAACTGTTAGCGATTTACGAAAAAGCTTTCATGACCTCAGTTATGCCAAATCCTTTAATGATATGATAGTTAAGGATACCTATAATTACAAACCGATTTTTCGTCCCTGTTTTCAAAGAAAAACTGCAACTACTATGTATCGGAATCTACACAAAGAAAGACAACAATTTGTTCTCCTGTCTCTCTGTCTTCTATTCTCCTTTTCAATACCTATCTTTTTTCCTTTATCGCTTCTTTTGTTTATTCTTTCAGTGTGAAGTCACGGGCAACTGCAAGTGTTGTACAAACGTCTGAAGTCTCTGAGTATATTGATGTTATGACTACAACACGACAATTCCGAAACGTACTATATTCTAAGTTCTGTACACCTACATCGATTTTGAATTTCAAATTTCGGCTCCATTCTCCCTTATTAGTAATCCTTTACCCGGAGTCGCAGTTAATATTCGCCCACAAGGCTTTGTGCCATTATTATGCTGTTGTAGCAATGATTTAGGATTATCGTCTGTCAATCTTCCAAGTGATTTGGGTTCAATTCATAATCTATCTATTTTATGATTTGATTGCTTGCTTTTAACAAATCTCCTAGAAGAGTCATACGCTCTCCGTAAAATTGGTTTCTAGTATAATTAGAAGCTTTCTCTCACCAATGTATGTGAGTGTTACTTGCACATAATTCTGTTACTTATCAGGACTAAGCGCTATATTGCAATCTTCTCCTTTGCGCACAATATTTGTATTCAAGACATCTTCTGGGCAAGCTCGATCTATTTATTGTTCATCGTTCGAAATCATCTTAGTAAAGTTTAAATTATTTTAAATTTTGTCATTCTGAATTGTGGTGTGGTATTCTATACAGAAACTTATAATTGATAGTCACATTATTAAGTTGTTGGGTAGTATTGAGTTCAGTTCGTGTAGTCCCTAGCTCGCTTTGGGCCACCGTGACGGACTATAACCTATACAATCTTGCTGATGGAGACCTAAGGAGCCCAGCGGGTCCAATCTAAAATATAACGAACTTAAATTGATAACTCTGAATAAGTAGCAGCAGATCTCCTTATGAATGAGTTCGTCCAAGAAGTACTGCTACCTTACCTATTTACACCGCCAAGCGATAATGTGAGCGTTACTGTGTTCCGGTTTTGAAGGGTAAGGGTGCTGGTAAAATTACAGGCACGTGGGACTTGTCAACTTATGTCTCTGTGTGTGCAATGCCCCAGTGCGCTCACAGCAGACCTTTGTGATTGAAATCTCTGAGTGGCAATGCAACTGCTATGGACAGGCATGTCGCTTACCACCAGGCTCACGAATTGTTCGTCCCGTCATTTGGCATCATTAAAAAAAAGAATATTAATTTTTTACTTTCGCGGGCAGCGCTCGAAGCTTTGTGATCGAAATTCCGTACCTTGCTATCTGGCTGTGATCTACTCAACCCTTATTGACTAAAGTGTAAGGTTGTAAATAATATTGATAGTAAATGAGTACAAATGTCTAATTACAAAGAACACGAATGTGTGTAATTTGCTTTTGCACAAAATAAATAGCTACTTGGCTAAATAACTAGGAGGAAATACTTACCCAAGCAGGATTTGCGTAGTTTAGACCAAACAGACAGTTTTAGACCGTTCAGATCATTTTGACGTTAATTGAACTTACGGGAAATGTAATTCTACATTCTAAACCAACCTAAGCCTCTTTTAGAAATACCTTCCAGTCCTAAGTGAGACCTTCGTGGGGTCCAATCTTCCCACACGGCAAGCAATAAATTTGGCGAGTGACACTGTGACAACTTTAGACCTAATTGGGACCCCGTTACATGGGAGATGGAACCTCCCTTAGATCTAAGTGTTAGGAGATAGGAATTATCTTGTTATAATAAAGGAGAAGAGATATCGAATCTTTCGTTTGCGTGATCGCTACACATTGGAAATTAAACTATTCTAAATCAAGTATATTTGGTTTTTCAAATAAATTAAAATGCGCTCTTTACGGGTCCCATGGTCACTGCTGACCCTAAGAGCATTGCGCACTACGTCCAATTCGTATTAGTTCCAAATCCGAGAAGTGACGGTCCAAAATGTCAGAAGGATCATTTTATCTCTAGGTGCAAAAGCGATTTTCGTATTTTCTCGGATTAGAATCGGACTCAGTGCACAAGCGACATCCAAAGTGGGTCGGATGCAGTGGGCCAACGCGCTTAGAGCTCGATATCATTTCGGCGAGTCACTATTATTTTTTACTCCGCACTACCCTGGTATCCCAACGGTTTGTACTATTGGCACTGGGGTAAGGAGAGT